AAGGATTCTATCTGCAATGAAGAAATTTTTGTTTTCCTTTTTTCTATGTCTTTATGGAAAAACTAAAGGTAGATTACCAGTAGAAGGATGAATAAATTGTGATTTTAAATTAGAAAAACAAATTTCTCAGTACTATAAAAGATCTGAGAAGTTCTAAGGTCAAAAATTATGACACCTAAAATCGAGGCAGGAAAATTTGCAGAAGTATGTTTAACATAGGGGGCTAATTCTAACACAGCTGCAGAGAACTGTCAACATGCCAAGAAGAAAAACAGGTTAAATTAATTCAGTTTGAGTTCCTTTGTTTCTAGCATCTATTTTCTATCTTAATATACTGTACTGGCAATGTCAGCACTACAGACAGCCCAGAGCGGAAATACTCTCCACACCCAGCTACCCATAGATTATCCAGTAACCTGATCCTGCAAACATGCAGGGCAAAGAAAGAAGAGAAAAATCTGTTTACCTTAGAAAGAGAGCTTCAAAATTCATAACATCTCATACAATGTTTACCATTTCATTTGTGTTAAGATAACCTTATTCCTATGCTTTAAAATGAACCCTTTCAGGGGCAAATCGCTGTCGTACTCCCACTAATGGGTGGAATACACACTTCCAGTACAATATGGTACTGGTACAAAGGACACATTGAGAAAGAAATGATCTCTGCTAACTTTACTAACCTAGGAATATGGAGAAGAAAAAAAGTTCTTAAAGGTAGATGCTTTATATGCAGGCATTTTGCAAAGATGAAAATGTGGCACTCGAAGGCCAATGATTAGCTCATAACCCATTTAAAAGTATATATAAAGTTCACCTGAAAATGGATAGTTTGTTTCTGCTTTTACGTTGGTGAATTTACTGGCATACTAAGATGAAGTTTTAAAATGCTGTGGTAGGAAGAAACCTTACAGCACAGGAGCAAACAAAGCCCAGAGAGGTTGGGTGGATCTGGTAACTTGCCACCCATCCAATGCCAGATAGGGAATTGCCAGATAGTAGAGAATCTATGGTACTTTCAAGACCTCAATTCTATACTTACATTGGGTAGAATTTCAGATCCTGCTCCTAGATGGAAAGAGAAAAAAACCTCACACAAACAACAAAGATTTCCAGACCTTGGGTGTTTAAAGGGCCTTCACACAGTAAATCAACCTAATGCTGTCTTGTTTTCTCCACAGCTAGACTGAAATAATACAGCACCAGCAGAGGTGTGAATTACCCCTATTCATCTTAATGGAGTGTTAACTTCAAAGGCTTGTTTTAACCATTTAAATGCTAAGCTCACGAGTAAACATTCTGTTAAAAAAAAGAAGAAAAAAAGTACAATTTAAACATTCACCCTCAACATACAAAAGTAATTTATAGTCTTGGTACTTTGTCTTTTAATTTAGCAAACAAGTCTCCAAATGTTAGAAAAGTGTACATTTTGTGCTTTAGTTTTATTTCAAATAGTTATTACCTAATAAATTATGAACATTAAGCCCATAATGAGAAGGCCCATATTTCCCAGGAAAAATTCCAAGGGGTGTTTAACAAGGTTTTTGGTAATCTCGCTGAAAGGGGCACTGCTCTCACCAGCCCTCTTATTAACTTCCTCAGAACTTACAGAGAAAGTTGTGACTCCAAACGGGTTAACTAGATAAGACAGAACATTAAAGCAAAATAAAAATGAACACCTCCACAAATAATTTTTTTCAATATTAACTAAGTTGTGCAGAGTGTTCAATAGGTTACTTGTCTCTTTGCCAAATCTCTTATAATCCTCTCATGGGAGCAGGTGACAAATGTATTAATTGATGCCCAGCTGTCATCACACTTAACATTTGCCCCAGGGGTCATCCTTGCATCTGTTGCAGATTTAGGGTTATTTTGGTATTACTGGAGTTAGATTTATTTAAGCAGCTGAAAACCTATTTGTATTTAGATCCATAATTTCATAAACAGAAAAAGAGGGTACAAGTAGTAGACTATCATCAGATTGACTGACTCTGGCTGACCCGAAAGCCCATGGGAGGCCATGTCTGGCTATGTCCCTGGGACCATGCTAAATGCCTAGTTTCAGAAAGGCATTAGTAGGAGAGTACAGTGAGGTAGAACCGTGGGAAAGCACTAAAACACTGCACTTGGGGCCAGTTCCCCTGTGAGTGAAGGCTCAAGAAAGACTGAAGATAACAGTCGTGCAAGATGGAAGATGTAGAAATTCAAGATATAGTTCCACATCCTTGGTGGAAAGCAAATTTCTTTTACTGGTCCAAATAAGGGATGGAAGAAAGGGGATAAACATCCAATCTATTAAAAGGGTCTGTTTTGGCCTGTACCTACTTTATACAAAGTCATTTAATCCTCTCAACACAACCTTGTATAATAGATATTAATTCCATTTTACAGATGTGAAAGTGGAGGTGTAGAGAGGTTAAGTAGTGTGCCTTTCACTGAGATGTGAATCCAAGTCTTTCTAACCCAAAAGCTTGGACTTTTCCCATTACACCACGCTGTTCTCAAGTTGTCCAAGAAGTATCTCTTTGATCTTCTCAAAAGAGAATTTCAAGTTGCCAATTTTTCAGCCTATTTCCGAAGTGAGAAGCAAGGGGGCACCTGCAAAAGTGTGTGTTTCCATACATGAAAATTGGTACTTTGCATGCAATTTCCTACTTTACATGTGCACCAGGATAGTATGACATTTTTACTGATACACCTTGGCTTTGGTAAGCTGCTAACAACATATCCTTTATATAGAATAATCATGGGAGGAGAGCCCAAATTTCTGGTTTCTAACCAGAAATAAGCCATGTCAGTGGGAAGTCTGCAATGATTTACAACCTCCAAACAAAATAGATACATTCCTGCAGATCATATTGGGCAGAAAAAAAGAAAAGTATGAAAAAAGGAAGAAAAAATATAAATGATCAATATTTATCTCTGCCAAGTAGAACAAGTAGAATGTCACATGTTTTAGTGGCAAACTGAGAAAGCTGACAGAACTTTCAAATCCACAGCCAGTCAGTTTTATGAGACTATAAAGTTCTATCTTGGCCAAGCGTGGTGGCTCACGCCTATAATCCTAGCACTCTGGGAGGCTGAGGCTGGAGGATCGCTTGAGGCCAGGAGTTTGTGACCAGTCTCAGCAAGAGTGAGACCCTGTCTCTACTAAAAATAGAAAGAAATTAGCTGGACAACTAAAAAATAGAAAAAATTAGCCGGGCATGGTGGTCCATGCCTGTAGTCCCAGCTACTCGGGAGGCTGAGGCAGGAGGATTGCTTGAGCCCAGGAGCTGGAGGTTGCTGTAAGCTAGGCTGATGCCACAGTACTCTAGCCTGGGCAACAGAGCGAGACTCTGTCTCAAAAAAATATATAAATAAATAAACAAAATAAAGTTTTACCTTACAATGAACAGCAGAGGAAAATCATTGAAGTTTTTAGGTAGGATTTAGAGGCAGGGCAAAATACCAAGTGGAATAATCTCACAGTTTTGTTATTAGTGATTGATGCTGACAACATTAACACATAAGCTAAGATTCAACTTTGTATATAAACTTAATACACTGATTTCTTAAAAAATAAACAAACAAAAGATTGACCCAAAGTATTTAAGAAAATTAAGAACCTCTGCAAAAATCACTGTTAAGGAAATGAAAAGGAAAGCCACAGACTAGGAAAAAAATCTTTGCAAAACACACCTCTCATAAAGGACAGATATCAAAAATATACGAAAAATGTTTAAAACTCAACAATGAGAAAAAAATCCAACTTTTAAAATGGGGCAGTTGGGTGCAGTAGCTTGTGCCTGTACTCCCAGCTACTCCAGAGGCTGAAGCAAGCCCAGGAGTCCAAACCTAGCCTGGGTAACAGTAACACAGCAAGACCTCATCTCCTTAAAAAAAAAAAAAAAAAAAAAAGGCAGAAGAATTGAACAGATACCTCACTAAAGAAAACAAACACATGGCAGATAAGCATATGAAAAGATATTCACTAGGGAACTGCCAATTAAAACAACAATGTGATACTAGTACACATCTATTAGAATGGTGAAAATCCAAAACATTGACAGCACCAAATGCTGGTGAGGACGTGAGACAACGGTAACTCCCACTCATTGCTAGTGGGAATGCAAAAGGTTACAGCTACTTTAGAAGGCAGTTTGGCAGTTTCTTATAAAATTAAATGTATTCTTACCACACAATGCAGAAATTGTGCTCCTTGGTATTTATCAAATAAGCTGAAAACTTATGTCTACATAAAAACTTGCACATGAATGTTTCCAGAACTTTATTTGTAATTGCCAACACTTGGAAGCAACCGAGAGGCTTTCAACAGGTGAATAGAAAAACAAACTGTGGTATATCCATACAATGATATATTATTCAGTGCTAAAAAGAAATGAGCTATCAAGCCACAAAAACACACGGAAGAAACTTAATTGCACATTGGTTAATGAAGGAAGTGGGGCTGAAAAGGATACATGCTATATGATCCCAACCATATGACATTTTGGAAAAGGCAAAACCATGGAGACAGTAAAAAGATCAGTGGTTGACAGTGGTTGCTAAGAATAAACCCTAATGCAAACTATCAATTTTAGTTAATAATAATAATTCATCAGTATTTACTAGTCAAATGTAACAAATATACCACACTAATGCAAGATGTTAATAATAGTGGAAACTGTGTGTTTGGGAGTAAGGAGGTATATGTGAATTCTCTGCACTTTCTGCTCAATATTTCTGTAAACATAAACTACCCTAAAAAATAAAGTCTATTAATTAAAAAAAAAAACCCAAAATTGACCCAATACATTTAAGAGCATTTTGAGTTTTTTTTCTTACGTTGATTAAAACTGCTATACTCCCAATTTTCTCTACCCACTGCAGTTTTGTTCTGCTCTTCTGTTAATGATTTTTATAAAAGCGTTATTTTTTCATCCAAGTGTCTTTCAGAATAATCCCTTCTTGCATATGGAGGTAAATTATTCTTCATAAGAAGTAGAAAAATACTTATTTCATTTGTTGATCCAATCAAAAATGATGAGTGCTAAACTAAAATTCCCAATCAAAATTCCAAAAATGAACAAAATGAATGCCTGTGGAAATAAGAAAAAAGATAAAGAACAATCCGAGTATTTTTTAAACCTCCGCCCTCTCCAATAATGTATTTTATATTTTAAAATATATTGACTTTCTTAACATAGACAAAATACTAATAATATAAAATGACAAGTTACTTCTTAAAATAGAAGTCTTACAGGAAACAAACAAAACAACATACCCCAAGCTTTTTCCATGAGAGAAAATCTTCTCTGCTAAGTTTAAGATAAAATAGTCCTGGGAATATAAAAATTAAACATGTTGATGTACTGGCACCTTTAAGTTGGAGGGAAAAAAAAGAGAATGTTACTGGATTCAGGTGTGAGGCTGGGTAACAATTTTATCCATTTTATTACAGGATTTTTTGAAATAGAAAACTTACCAACTACACCAAATATATTTCTAATGTCAGGAACATATATTGCAAGTAAAACAATGACAACATTGAGTGCTAGAGTGATCAAAGAATGGCGAATCCATGAGAATGGAAAATTGGAAAAAAATATCATCGTTAAAGCTTTTCTGGCCTGTATTACAGAAAAAGAAACAGATTTAGCAAAAAGTCAGTGTCAAAGTCAATATATTTGCATAGAGAAGCACGTGTACAGTAACCATGATATTCTTGCCTCCTAAACCATTTAGATTACAAAGTATTTATACACAAAACTAAGTGTTTATACACATAAACCTTTCTGATTGAGCTTCATACAAATTATTTTGCTTTAATTCTACAAAAAAAATTTCACATGCAATTTTTTTAGTCTGAATAATTTTTTTTTTTTTACCAACAATAACACACTATGATAAAATCTCAGAAAATCATTTTCATTATATCCAACAGATAGAAAAACAAATGATTTAAAATAGAAGAAGAAATCATGGGGGGGCGAACATGGCTGAAGGCAGCCTGGGCAGCCCAGTGTGCACTGGGGTCCGTGGCAGGCAGGGCCCAGTCCCCAGCACTTGTGGTTGCAACTTTCCAGAGTACCAGCTTCCAGAGTTAAACGCACACGCTTTCCGTGTGGGCATCTTTGGGGAGCTGTGGCGTGGTTGGCTGTGTGGGCACAGAGACTTGTCGCTGAAGAAGCCGCTGACACCAGTGCTGCCCGGGAGAGGTGGCTGACTCAGACCAGGAGCGTGCCGCAGTGGCCCAGGACTTGGGCTGCAGCCTGGAAGCGGTGGCCAAGCTGAGGGTGTTGTGTGGCCTTGATAAACTGAAATGCTTTGAGGAAGGCCAGGATCCAGAAGTCATCCCAGAGGACGCTGACTTGGTGACTTCGGGCACACATCACATGGAGATGGGCATGAAGAAGTTACCTCTCACACAGGCTGCTCTGGAGGTTGGTATGGAAACTCTATAGCTTCCTGTGCAAGATGAAGAACCTGTCATTGGAAACTACAGACTGTTGAAAACAATTGGCAAGGGGAGTTCTGATAAAGTGAAACTAGCAAGACATATCCTTACAGGCAGAGAGGTGGTCATTAAAATAATTGATAAAACTCAATTGAATCCAACAAGTCTACTATAAAGGCTCCTCAGAGAAGTAAGAATAATGAAGCTTTTAAATCATCCAAATATAGTGAAGTTATTTGAAGTCATTGAAACTGAAAAAAACACTCTACATAATCATGGAACATGGAAGTAGAGGTGAAGTATTTGACCATTTGGTTGAATGTGGAAGAATGGGGCAAAGAAGTAAGAGCTAAATTCAGACAGATCATGTCTGCAGTCCAATACTGTCATCAAAAATTGATCCTTCACAAAGACCTCAATGCTGAAAATCTATTATGAACATCAAAATGAACATCAAAATAGCAGATTTTGGTTTAAGCAATGAATTTACTTTTGGCAGTAAACTAGAAACATTTTGTGGCAGTCCTCTATACTCGGCCCCCGAGCTCTTCCAGGGCAAGAAATACCAAGGTTGAAGTATGGAGTCTCGGGGTGATCCTGTATATGCTTGTCACTGGCTCACTTCCCTTTTTTAGGCAAAAACTGAAGGAACTGGGAGCGAGTATATTAAGAGGGAAATACACAATCGCTTTCTACATGTCTATGGTAGAAAACTTCTCAAACGTTTCCTGGTGCTAAATCCAATTAAACGAGGCACTCTAGAGCAAATCATGAAGGATAGGTGGCTCAATGCAGGGCATAAGGAAGATGAACTTAAACCATTTGTTGAACCAGAATTAGACATCTCAGATCAGAAAAGAATAGACATTATGGTGAGAATGGGATATTCACAAGAAGAAATTCAAGAATCTCTTAGTAAAATGAAATATGATGAAATCATAGCCACGTATTTGTTGTTGGGGAGAAAATCTTCAGAGCTGGATGCTAGTGATTCCAGCTCAAGCAGTAATCTTTCACTTACTAAGGTTAGGCTGAGCAGTGATCTCAACATCAGCAGTGGCCAGTCTCCCCAGTGTGAAGTGCACAGAACTGTTTCTTCAAGCCAGAAGCAGAGGTTACAGTGACCATGCTGGACCAGCTGTTCCTTCAGTTATGGCATAACCAAAAAGGAGTCAGACCAGCACCGCAGACAGTGACCTCAAAGAAGATGGAATTCCCTCCTGGAAATCAAGTGACATTGCTGTTGGAGGAAGGGAAATTGCTCCAGGCAGTCCCATGCCTGGGAATGTAAATAATCCCAATAAGGAAGATATTCCTGAATGGAAAAATAGCTCCACTGCCCCCAGTTTCCCAGAGAAGAGAAGGACCTCGGTCTCTGCCTTCAGGACTTTCCGTTCCCGCCGCTTTTATCCACATGCTGCCCTTCCAAAAAGTAACACAGCATCTGGAGGAATGACACAGTGAAATACGTACATTTGTAGTGAGAGAACTACAGATGATAGACACGCAGTGATTCAGAATGGCAAAGAAAACAGCACTACGAAGTCTGTCGGGAAAATATTGGTTTGCGCAATACCGATGCAACCTGGCAGGCAAGGCGAGTGGACTGGAATGTACATGTGGGAACAATGATGCCTTCACCACACTATTCAGTGTGGCTCCAGATGCCATTGAGTGAGCACATGTACTGTGTGGCCCTCGCATTCAAAATGACTGAGCAAGTAGAGCAATGAATCTGCATCAAATTTTGCATTAAGCTTGAACATTCCTCTGTGGAAACTGTTCGGATGATTCAGAAGACTTTCAGGCACGATGTAATGAGTGCAGCACAAATAAAAGTGTGGCATGAATGCTTCAAAGATGGTCGAGAATCTGTTCAAAGTGATCCACATTCTGGAAGGCCTGCAACAAGCAGAACACCTGAGAATGTTGAATGTGTATGGGTTAGGCTGAGAGACGCTGAGAGAACTGTTTGAGGTCTCAAGGTGTCTATTTTGGAGGGGACTGAGGTGTCATTGTCCTGTGTACAATGTTTCTTGTATCTTCTTCAATAAATGTCTCTATGTTTCATATTATATGGCTGGATACTTTCTGGACAGACCTTGTATCCTGATCAGAGAACTCCAGTTGCTTCAACACACAGTATTAGCAGTGCAACCACCCTGGATTGAATCCGCTTCCCAAGAGGCACTGCCAGTCTTAGCACTTTCCATGGCCAGCCACAGGAGCAGCAAACTGTCATGTATTACGGCCCCCTGTCTCTCCCAGCCTGTCTCCTGAATCCACACCGTTGTCCCAGACTTGAAGCCGAGTCTCCATTAGTCTTTTTTGTAAACTAACTTCAAGACTCAGAAGGAGCACTGTTTCTCAGTAGAGAATTCCAGTTGCTTCAACACACAGTATTAGCAGTGCAACCACCCCAAATCAAATCGGCTCCCCAAGAGGCATTTCCAGTTGCAGGAGAGGCAAACTGCAACATATAATGGCCCCCCTGCCTTTCACCCTATCCAGGAAGACGCACCGTTATCCCAGACTGTAGAAGTCAGAAAAATAACTCTGTTTTGCTGCTTATGTTGTAGAACATGTGATTGAACATGAATAAAAATTTCTGAAGGGAAAAAAAAAATCATGCCATGGGAAAGAAACACCATTTACTATTTTATATTATGTTTCATAGCATGTAAATATGAAAAATAGTTTGTTACACTTCCCTTTGCTAAGGGGGCAGCAGGCAGTCACATCCCACAATAGTTTATCCAGCCCCCATTGTAATCTTGGCACTGTAGTCTGCACAGGGAGGAGGTGAAAAATCTTTAAGTCTCAGTTCTTAAAAACCTCACTGTTTAAAGATTCAAGACATCCATGCAGAAGCATTTATACCCAAAGCCTTTGTTTCTATTTTCTTAGAAAGTCTTAAGATTCTTATATATAGCAACCAGACGAAGAATGCAAATCCGTTCTGCCCCTTAAATTATAATTCTAGAGCAAATACAATATTTTGATTAACTAGAATGTCTATGTGAAAAGAAATTTACAACACACCAGAAGGAGCTGATTTTTGCTGACTTGACTTTTCCCTATTCACACACATTCTTTTGAAAACAGAATACGGAATTAAAGGGGGGAAAAACCCTAGAACTTAAGAAGAACTATAGTTTCTAAATTGGAAATAATGCTGTGGAAGGGCATAAATCTAAACTAAATCTCAAAAAGCACAAATTAGCTCAGTGGTTCACTGTTATTTTTGTGCTTTCATGGGGCCATACGCAAGTACAAGGTCTTTGATCAATTACTTGACAAATGAATAAGATATACAAGACTAGATGTGATTCAAATGTTCTATTCTGCAAAGAATTAGTGTTGCCCTATTAGGATACAGCTACATTAAGCAACAAAAACCCTTGAGAGTACTTACGGGGAAGTGGATTAGAGGGACTGTCAAAAGCACAGCAAATAGGATACACAACTTCACAGTCATGACAACAACATCATGTGGTAAGTATTTACTATAACCTTGTAGTAATTCTGACTCCACTTTGTCTGTAAATAAAAAAATAATAATAAGGATCACATTATAAACTATTAAGATGTTAATAGCAGCAAAATGATTTTCCTTTGCACTAATGGATCTTAACAGATTTTCGA